ATTTAAAGTAGGAGACCATGTTCTCCTGTCCTTGAAGAATACCAATATCCTGTCGATCGATACTGGCCTACTAAGAAATTGAATCTGAGATTCGCCAGACCTTATCAAGTGACACAAGTAGTCTCTCCGACTGCATATAGATTGAATCTTCCTGCTGAAATGAAGATCCACCCCGTGTTCCATATTTCATTGCTGAAACTATATCAAGCTGTCCCAAATGAATTTCTCTGACCCACACCACCTCCTGCTATTGTTCTGCCTAGTACAGAACAAGAAGAATATGAAGTTGAAACCATTCTAGACAAAAGGATTCTTCAGAAGAAACTCCAGTATCTAGTAAAATGGCTTGGATATCCTCTCCATGAAGCAACATGGAAACCTGTGGACCATTTGGTAAATGCCAAAGTAAAGGTTGAAGAGTTCGAGAAGACGAGGATGTCTTCATCTTAAAAAGAGGAGAATGTAACGAATCCATATCTGCCCCCATCAATTCTGTGTAAGTATATATGACTCTGTGTGACTATAGATTCGAAGTTCGTCCTGTCTATTATTTTTGGACTCTCCGTGTAACATCATCTGAGAACATCTTTAGCAATCCTGGGTAGAGTGCCTTTCATCATTATCAATTTGTCTTGTTTCCACAGAATAGAAATTAGCTCCGTAAACAGTAGTAGCACAAACCAATAGATTTCTTTTATTATTATTATTTTTTCTTTTTGTTTTTCTTTTTAAGTTATATTATAGCCCCATAAGTTTGGACGTCCGTTATGTCAAGATTTATGTATTTTTAATTATTGTATTTATAGATTTATTTATGTTATTTTAACTAAAAGGTACTTTAGGCCAGATTCTTATATAGAGAGGACAAGCTTCTCCTGAAATAAAGTTAATTTTGTTGTTTTATTGACCAAATAACAATTGTTTACTGACTTATTGAAATAAAGTCTTTTATATTTATACTCACAAATAACCTATAGATTTTTACTATCTGACTATGGTATAAAACTCAGGTTATTCAAGCTTTGGCCAGTTTTAGTGTTAAGAAAAAATCTTCGATATATCTGCCATCTAGAATATGTAAGGATTCAAGACAAGCCAGAAAAATATCAATCAGCTCAAGCTTCTTAATGGATATAAAAAGGATATCCACCTCTTGTCAAACCTACACCCTATGGAAAATAAGGGAGACTTTGATCGTTTGTACCTGTTGAAATATAACAAGTCATAACAATAATTAATGGGAGATTTCTATGGTTATGAAACTAATGGCTATCAAAGAGAACAACTATTGCAGAGACTGGTATTTAACTTTAGTGCCACGTTGTGAACTGGCAAGGGCAATCCCTGGGAAAAGAAATTTGAAAACAATCACCAAGGTAACCAATCCAATGGAAGGAGCAATCTGTTATAAAGTAACTAAGAGAAACGCCTGTTAGGCCAACTTGTAAGAGTGATTAAAAATAAGGTAATGGAAGGCTATATACCACCCAATTATGTGATACCATTGAATCACCTACATATCAATAACATGGCCGAAGGACTGCACCATCTAAGTTTTAACTAGCATGTGAAGGATCCAAACACAGTAAGGATTGTCCATGATACTCATGACTATCGAACGATATATAAAGACCTCATTAAGAAACACACAATACAAGCCTCTTGAAGAATAATATAAAGTCCATAACGGATTTTCAGAATACTACAGTCGCAGGCAAAGCAGGACAACTAATGAAAATAGTACCATTATGTGATAAAATTAGTGGACTTGATTAGAATAGATAGTTTAATAAGGTTATATACATAGCTTATGTAATCTAAAAAAAATATACTACTGATTCCTCAATAAAGATTTGTCTTGTCAGTTGGACTAGAAAAAAAAATATTTTAGTATCTTTAGAATATACTATATAATATTAGTAATCGATTAACAATAATATATAAACTAGAATAATTTTTAATTATAATTTATTATAGAACAAAATATTATTTTAATATTAAATTTAAAAATTAAAGATTGTTATTGTTTATAATAAGTAAATTATATTTAAATAGAAAAGTTTGATTATATTATATATTATACTTTTCAAATATGAATATATTAATATGTTTAATTAATTAATAGATTAATAATTTAGTTTTGTTATAAGTATTATAAAAATGTACTTAAAAAATAACTTGAAAAACATATAAGATCATATGGAAAGATATCTAAAAAAACAATTTAAAAATTTTATTAAAGGAGTAAGAAAACTTTAAAACAAATTTAAAACAAATATATAATACTATAATTAAATAAAAAAAATTGAAATTATTAGAAAACTCAAAAGATAATAATAATTATTGTTATAAAATAAATATTAAAAGTTATAGAATTTAAGATAAAATCAAAAAAATTATTTAAATAAATAAATTTTAAAAAAAAAACCAATAGATCTAGATCAAATAAAAAGTATCTAAAATTGTAAAAGAATGGATTTATAAAAATAAAAAATGATCAAAATTTTAGTTTGCAAGTAAAATATTAAAAAATTTAATATAATAAACTGTAAACAATAATATTTTGATTAAAAATAAGCCTAGTTAATAAAAAGAGTAAAATACTATTCATAAGTTATATTCAAGAAAAGTAAGTTTTAATATAACAAGTGAGTTAATACATGAAGTCAAAAATTTGTAAGATATCTTATATTTATTACACAATAAAGACAAATTATATTAGTTGATAATAGATTAAATAATAACAATAATAATTCATCTAATAGTCTAATGATAACAATTTCATAAATTAAAAAATATTTCATAAATGTATTAAAAAGTATAATATTGTTCACAAGTAAAGCATAAAAATATTTAACAAAAAGCTTATGATATTATTTAATTTTACTATTATTGGTTTTAATAAAGATAAATATGTCATTATAGTTCAATTGAAAATTTAAAAAGATATCACCTATTAGTAATTAATTTGTGGTCGATAATTAATAATTAATTCTTCATAAATATATTATTTATAATAAACAAACAACGCCAATAATTTTTTTTAAAAAAATCATATGGATTTTTTAAAATATCAATTTTAATTTCATGTATTGAAATAATTGATTATAAGCAACAAATTTTTCAGTAAAAAAGCATATCGCAAATTAATAAAAAGAAGAAATAATATTTGCGAGGTTGTATTTAAAGTGCTAATTGATAGAATAAGGTTCCATGATAATTATTGAAAAGCCAAAAACAAAGCTTCAAAAAACTTTAAATTAGTAAAGTAATAGAATATTCTATTGTATTTTCTGTCAAAATCGAATCTTGATCTCAATTTCATTAATTTCATCTTCCTACGTTCATTGGTCTCTGAGAGTCTGTGCTAGGTGGGAATGCCTTTTTACGCGACGTCCATTAATTTCCCCGTCACGGCAAAGAACACAATGTTATTTTTTATTTTTTACTACGCCTTTATTATTATTATTATTATTATTAGAAAAAATAAGTCAATTAGTAGTACGTTGTTGATTGCTTGATCAACACAGAGATCTAATTCGTTACCAATCTCAGCGACAGCTCATTTTCAACTCGCACAATATATTATCTAGTGAGAACAAAGAAAAAAAATGACCAAATTCTCTGTCATACATAAATAAAACAAGAAATTTTAATTCCCCAACTTCCCCCAAATTCTTGCAATTTCAATTGTCAATGCCGACCTTTAATTTCCCAGGTTTCAGAATTCAAATTGTCACTATAAAATCGATCGAACCTTGGCATCATATGAACAATTGCAAATGGAAAAATTTTCATCATGTGCTATTATCTGCCCTCACGAACCATTCGTACAAAATCACGAGAACATGATGCATGATACTTCACTCTCATTTGCTTTTTTTGAATGGATAAACAATTGACAAGAACTTGGAGAGAAAAAAAGTCTGACAGATAAGATCGGTATTGGTTCTATTGTCAAAAAAATATATTTGTCACGTGTATATTGTCCCACATAACATAATGAACTATTCGGGAATAGGATTATTCAATATACATTACCAATTTCTGAGATACAGTACCACTATTATTATTATAAAATTAATGCACTCAAACTATTGAATTTTTTTTTTTTTTTTTTTTTTTTTTTTTGTTTACAAAAAACTAGGCTCAGGAAAATATTAAAAAAATGAATCTAATGAAAGAACTCTTTTGCGTACATCAGGTGCTAAATGGTCATTCGAGTCACACGGTCTGCCACCAAACCAAATGTATCCTTCCCTAATGATCGAGAATTTATAAATAGCGAGTCTACATGGTTTGGTTGCAAGAAACTTTGGATTTGCAGTTTCCAATTTACTGTAAATAATGCGATTCTTACCAGAGGTAACATATGCACCACATGAATTGTATGAATGAGGAATATTCATTTGCTCAAATCAATTATTTTCTATAATGTTTAGGATGATGCAAAAATACTTAAGCACGTTGAAAAAAATGGTCCCAAAAATTGGAAGAAGGCCGCTGAATACGTAGGAGGCAGAAATGCAAAACAATGCAGGGAAAGGTAAGCATTAACATTACATTTTTCAAATTCTACGCGCTGAATTAATAATTTTTCTTTGCGCACTAAAAGATATCATGGTCACCTAATCGGAGGTAGTAAAATTTAAAGAAATTCGTGTTATTGTAGATTGATGTAATTAACAAGATTTTTTTTTTAATAATCGCCCATGTGATTTGTTTTTTTAGTTGATAAAAGTAAATTTTTAGATAAAGAAATAGATAAAATATTCGAATTACGCACTGAGGGGTACGGATGGACGCATATATCCAAAGAATTGAATAAACTCCGCCCTGGTAAAAAAATTCGCACTGCGAATCATGTTAAAAATCAATGGAACCAAAAATTTAGTAAGACACCTAGAGGAGAGGCAATAATGGAAAAAATAAAAAATCAGAAGGATCGTAAAATACTCGGAGGCCAACTTGATTCTTTGGACAAAGACTCTGAAGACCGAATGTCTATCGACGAATCCGTTGATTCTTCGATGGATATCGATGAATTTGTTGATTCCTCGAACGATCATAATGATAATAAACTCAACAACTTCGGCAATCAAAAATCCATTGACAATATACATTCTTCGCCTTCACAATCATTTCCTAGCACACGGTTGCCGCCTATCAAAGATCTTATCGTGTTGCCGCCTATTAAAGAAGATCTTATCGTGTTGCCGCCTATTAAAGATCTTATCGTGTTACCGCCTATCACTAATACGTCGCAAGCCATCACTAATAAGTTGCTCATTTTGGAACCCCCTTCAATCCATTTCCGCTCAACCCTTGGAAAAGGAATTGAAGTAGATACCCACTGAAAAAAAAAAAAAATGAAAAGAAATCCATTTTAATTTAGTAATCTAATTACCAAAGAAAAATATAAGATTAATAGATTCTTAGTTTTTCATCCCTATGTATAATAAGCCACAGATTTACGTATATATTTCCGATAAGAGAACATTCATCTATAGTTCAATAATAAAACCTTTTAACTCTATTATTCACTCATTATACTAATAGAAAATACAGTGTTCGTTAAAGAAGAAAAATCCATATATTTCTTTGGAAAATCAAAAGGCATACATCTGTATTTTCTTAATCTAAATATTCTACCGCTCGATGTCACAGTACGCAAATTATTCCGCGCAAGTAATTGCGCCTAGTCTTTTGTTTAAAAAAATTGTTCCTGAATGAAGAAACATTTTTATATGGTGTACACCAAACAAAAAAATTTATAAATAAGGAAAACAAAATATGTAAACAGATGACTCTTTTGTTTTTGCGCAGTTGATCATGTGATTATCTATCTAGAGAATAAATTCTTCCGCAAATTTCATTTTAGACAAGTATATGCTGCAATCTTTTCATTTAATTTCCTTTCATATTTTTTCTTTTTATGAAATGTATTACCGGAGAAAATGGACTTTTATCCTTCGGATAATACTAGAAACTTACCTTAAATTTTAAAACATACGTGTACTTACAAAATTGGATGTAACCAAGTATAAAAACACACGCATTTATTCTGACCTATGATTTTTTGCGTGTGTTTCGAGCTTGTACGAATTTCTCATTCTTAATTTCTGGTGTGCAAATGTCAAGAACGCAGTACAGCACATGAAAACGCAGGCATAAAAACATTATGTAATTAACGTCTGATGATCAAAATTCTATTATTAAAAAAGAAATACGCATACAGTATATTGTAAATAATTTTGAAAAGTATAGGTACAGTAAAGTATTTCAACAATGTAGAATGAAAGATACAGTATATGCTGTATTTTAAATGACTGTGGTATTTCACAATAACAATTCTCGCAGAAACCGACCCTGAAACAGTTACAAATTCATGCACGATGGGTTCCGAAGTCATATTATTCGAGTGAACTCATTCTTCTCTTCTGTGTAGCAAGACATCTCCAATGGGGCGAGGTAGGTATCCCATGGTTACCACCGAGCTAATATTTAAGTTATTTCATAAAGTTTACATTCGTGAATTTAGTGTGGGTCGTCTTGTATCTTTCAACAATCAAAATTTTCATCTCCGCATTACGTGCTTCCCATTCATGCGAGTTGTCAACAAAATGGTGAAAATCCTACCAACTGTGTCTTGCGTGCAACCTTGATCATAAGGTCTTGCAATAAAAATATTTGCATAAGACTTTGTGTTGATGAGGATTTTTTCCAATAGAACAAGTCCTTTATCTTACTATAAGTAATTTTATGTAACATAAGAGTGTGTATGTGTTTACGTTTTCATTCGATATTTCTTTAATTCATGT